CAGCATTGATTTCTGTATGTGGAATTTTTTCTAACCTTTTTCTCTTTTTCTGTTCCCCTTCCTTCCATGCTGACTTCGGTGTAGCAGACCATTTGGGGATTGAATTCATGGGTAAGACTCAACAATTTGCTTATTTAATATCCTATAAAAGCTAAGTTTTATCATGTACATAGTGTTCTCCTTCCCCATCTGATTATAATTGAAATGTCTCATTATCAGATGCTATTAGTAATAAAAAATGCTTTTGTTGATTTTTCACTAAGTAATGGCTCGAAATGAAAGACTTAACTACTTATCGAGAAGGCAATTTAATGTTAAGTGCAGCTTCTGGAATCATACAGAAGTTGAATTTGGCTCCTGGCTTTGATTGTTTCCTCTAATTCTCAATTTTCTTATCTGTAAAATAGGGATAATAATAGTTTCTATTTTACAGCACATGTGAATTGCTTAGCAGGGTGTCTGCAACATGGCAAACACTCAATAAGTGATAGAAAATAATGGTTTTTAATGTCAATTTTTGTTATTTTCTTTTCTAGTTCCTTTTCCTTTCACATGAGGACTACTTTGGCTATATTTTGGTATCAACCTTAATTTGGAGTGTGGGCTATTAAACACTTCCATTTACAAAATTAATGTATTTCTTTTAAAGTATTTGCAGTGAGTGGCATGCTTTTTAAAGCATTACAATGCCTTCCATGGGCATTATTTTCTATACTTAGAGATAATTGCATTAACTTAGACAATTATGTTAAATGAAAAAAAAAATTACTTAAATGAAAAAAGAGCCTTCCGTAAGGTTCAAAGTGCATTGCTGTATAGGACCAGAAAGATACTCAGGAGTTAATTAGGGAAATTGAAAAGATCCAAATTTCAATCCAGATTCATCATGATCTACATGTATGGCTTTTGTTGAATTTCAGATTTTCTCTCTTAGATGATGTGGATATGAATACTTGCTTCATACATGAATACGTTTATTTTGATAACACTTGTATATGTACTCGTATTAATTTATCCATTCACCCATTTATTCAGTAAATGTTTATCAAGTCATTATAAGCAAAGAAAAAATGCAAAATGCTAAAGATAAAATAGGGAGTAAAAATGGACAAAAAACCTAGTCCAAAGGATCTTTTAGTGTAGTAATCTTACAGATGATGATCAGGTAATAAAACTTAAATAAAATTACAAATTTCTTAATGTCTACTCCAGGCAAAATGCTATTGGCTTTGACTAGTGTTATGATAGAAAATATGGGGAGAAGTTGATAGATATTTGGGAGGCAACATTAACAAGTGCTTGAGAAGGACTGATGTTGAAGGTGGAAGGAGGGAGATTGTCAAAGATGACTGCATGGTTACAGTACGCATATGTAGATACGAGGTGGGTCACTGAGAAAGAATACTGACAGAAGAAAAGATTTATGGGAGATGTTTACTAGATTAGGTGTGTGGAAATGTTGAGTTTGGGGTGCCTTTTTCATATTCAGGAAAAGATGCTAAGTTGGTAGTTGTATTTCTGGAAGTGTTGAGGGTTGGTTAGAGTTTAGTGATTGCATCTTTATACTGGAATTGGTCTTCCATGTTATATTACTCATTAGTGCTCTAATATCTGGATATTACATCATAGAAAAAAAAGGCAGACAGATCGATTCCTGCAGGTTTGGGGTTTTGCTAAATATATGTAAATGAAAGTCAGAAGAGCAACGAAATTCAGGGTATTATTCAAATGAAGCACCATGGAATCTAAGGTAGATGTGAAGGGAAATGAAGAAAGTATGACTGTCTCAGTGAAATCAATTAATAGTCATCTTGGCAGTGCTTGAGCCAGTTGATGAAATGGAGAGGAGACTACAGTCATGTGGCAGTTTGGTTGATACTGATTTTGAAGATGGAGGAGTTATAGGAGATGACAGTTTTCAAAGTATTCCTATGTGAGTGAGTAACCAAACTGAGGTAGAGGAGGAAATAATTTGAAACTATAGGTCAAGGATTTAAAGGATGTGGCTTTGGAGAGGTTATCTAAGTGGATATTACAGTTACTCATAATGGGTTGGGATAGAGGGAAAAAATGTTTGTTTTATGCTAAAGTCTCCAATAAGTGAGATGGACTGTATTGGAGTCTAGTAGATGACAACGAAGAACGTTTATTATATAAAGGTAAGGATAATGTTAGCTGCATCAAAAGATAGTGTCCACAGTATTATAATGGCTCAAGCACAGTAGCAATTGATTTCCTGCTACTACTTTTTTCCTGTCCACGGTAGGTGTTTTTACCTGCCCAAAGTAGCAAATGACAAGCTTTCATTCAAACAGTCAATCAGGGATCCAGGCTTCTTCCATCTTATGGTTTCAATATCATCTAGGTTTTCTTGTCATCTGCATCTAGCCAGCAAATGGGGAAAGAGAACTTAGCAGACATATATCTACTTCTTAAAAGACCTAAGTCTAAAAGGGCTCATGTCATTTTTTGATTAACTTTCTATTAGCTAGAGCTAAATCACATTGCCACATCTTCCTGCAGGAGAGGCTCAGACATGGAAGCTTACTGGCTCCAAGAGAAAGAAGGAAATGAATTTTTAGTAATCTCTGCCAGAGTGTGGATGGCATAAATTTCAAAGGAACAGAATTTTCACAAGAAACAAGTACTTTACAACCCAGCAGGACAGATCCCTAACTTTGAGAGTGAGAAAATAAAAACAGCTTTTGACAGAGGTAGAGCAGAATTGGTCTTTTCAGGCAAGATCCAGGTTTCAGTTAAAATAGGAAGAAAGAAAGAATCAAAGAAGAGGCTGAGAATGCAGAGGGGGTGCTGCTGATGTGAATAAGCAATTTGGGTGAGGCAAGTGGAGAATTTAGTCAGTCGAAGAAGAGTAAAAATCTGAGTCATGGGCCACAAATTGCAGAAAATTGTGGGTATGGTTGTGCAGTAGAGTATGCATTTTTGAGAAGGGCACACAATTTGTACTCTCCTCCCTCACTGAGGATGGCAGGGATTAGTGTCATGGAAGTATTAGCGTCAATAGCCATGTTGAGGAAAATAGGCACTAGGCCTTGCATCCAGAGAAATTAGCCCCAGAGGGCTGTGGTGACTGCAGGCTCAGAGAATAGAGGCTCCATATGTCATTTAGCAGAATGTCCACAGATGCAGAAAACACTGCATGGCTGATCGTGGGCGGGGGTAGCTTCAGATCCCACAGGAAATGTGGCTGTGGGTATAGCAAACTAAAATTGCTACACATATGTTAACCATCACTGTCAAAAGAAATGGACCAATCTCCATCCTATTGTGCTTTGTCTCAGGACCTCTGGAGGCGCTGGCAACTCACAGGGTAACAGTTTGCTACAGAATCAAAATATGCATTAAGAGGTCTGCATTAGAACTCATTTAAAGGAATGTAGTTACTGATATGGAAAAAATTATAGGTTATCATGTATTTCATCCACATGAATCTCAAGCCTAAGGTTAGGTGAGTTTTGCAAAAGTTAGAGTCAAATCATAGCTATAAAGCCTTTTGGGCAATGAGTTTTCAGTGTGTGATTATTTGACTCTAGCAGTGGAGATTGCCTTGGAGGGAAGGATTGAGCAACAACTCAGAGTTAAAGGCAGTGGGCAGTATGTGTATAGATAAAATCAACTAATGAGGGATGGTTTGAAATGGTGACTAGGTTTACAGACTTAGTGAATATACTCTTTTCACTAATTCACCCACACAGGTTGCTCTAACTAAATATGTAAAATTCTGTTTGTTGCTTTGGAAACAAATATCTTCAGATTTAACTTGTGATTGAAAAATCCATATTTGTAAAATTTCTTCTATTGAAGGTGCTATCATCCCAACTAATATGGCAT